TCCAATATTTCCTTCTAAGTATCTGTCCATGTTTCCTATCTATGTATATCTCAATATGCATTATCTCACTGGCTTACTACAGGCATATAGTGCTTTGAAGAATGTTTAACATGTTCCCCCTCCATGGAACATGGTTTGGTTTTTGTCCCACTTTAGGGATGATAGAGATTATCTTTTACCACTGAAGACATCACTATCTTCCCCAATAACTGGTTGTATTTTGTGCAGCACATGTAATTTCAAAAATAATTTATTTGAATGATTATTATAGGCTTTGTCTATCTTACTGTTCTATCATGGAGCCTATCATAGAGTTGTGTCAACATACAGTCAGATATCAGCAATTCTTTAAATTATAAGCAACCACTCCGAGATTTATGCATAATATCATTGAGTACGCAAGCTAATGAATCATATTATAATTATTAGATTTTAGAGAAGAAAACTCAGCATCAAAAAGGTCACATAGCCAATGGAAGCAAGCCTTAAATACAAACACAACATTTTATAGTAACAACAACAAAAGGGCAAGTTATATATTCTTCAGAGTCTAACAAAGGGGTTGCAACATAATGGTGCACATAAGTAGGCAATTATATTAAATACACTTTAGAAATACTTTATGAATATTTCTACACTTCTATAGACTACCACCAAGGTTCTGGGAACACACAGTGGATAGTTCTTGATATCCTATACTTTAATTTTGGCTCTTACAACTAACTAACTACTCTGCATTAATTACTACCTAATGTATACATGCATTAAATTTCACATTAGACTTTACAAATGTGCACCGATATATGTCAATTCCAATATTTAAAAAAAAAAAACATCTGTCAAGTTTATCTTATCAGATGTTCTATGAGTTGTAGTAGGGTCTTTGTTTACCAAACTGAGGTCTTTGGCAGTAATATATACTTGTTGATTGTCAGGATACTAAAGAAAGTTTAGGTTTTCCATGATGCTATTAAAGGACATTTCCATAGGTAATGTCACAGCTGGTGATAGTTATTTCTAGATATTATTTTTTGGTCTTTCAGTAATTTTAGTTCATTAATATTCCTCTTGGTTTTAGGCTGTAAGTACAATATGTTGAATATACATGCATACGCATATAAGCATAGTTTTTCTTCATCTGTAGTTCCCCTGATTCCTAAAGAATAAGGAAATATCAAAGAGAAGAATTTCTGACAGAACACTGGATAAAGATTTCTGGCATTGCTGATGCAGTCAAATGTAAATTAGTAATTTCCAGGGAAACAGTTTCAGAGAATTAATTATTTTCTTATGTAACTTAGACTACATGAAGATGGCAGTTTTATTATTAAATCCAAGTGCTCAGACAGGAAATGTGCCTTGCAGAAATCCTGCAGAACTGCAAACCCATAACACAAGATTTATGCACATGGCAAGCTACCTGGACAATGAGGTGGGTTTCACCTCTGCTGTGTTGAGATGGTTATTTGTGTTGTGTGGGGAGAAGAGAAATATCACTCTCAATTCTAGGCATCATCTAACCCTAATTAAAAGAAGTGCGGAGACTTAAGCAGAGGATATTATGCAACTGAGCTCATGCCTGACAGAAACAGATTGTTGGCTATGCATGTGGTAATTGATTAAATATAATAGGGATTAGAAGTGTGAAAGTTTTTCTATCATGGAAGTTTGGACTAACTGTTAGGAAGTTAGATTAAGCAGGGATGATGTGTAGGCTGTATATTTTCTTTAAAAGATCATTCTAATTGATTCTAAATGCTATGAGGTTCAGAGTATACTAATTTAGGTAATCTCCCTGGTATTTTTAGTGATTAATTTACTTTTAAATGAATTATACTAGTTGAAATAATATGTTTTCTCTTGGGGAGTGGTTGTTGAAAGAATGAATATTCCTTTATAAAAAAAAAAAAAAAAAAAAAGGAAAGAACATCATGGCTTTGAAATACCAAGCGATCTGGTACTTATCTTTGGTTGTTATTCTTGGTTGAGAAACTAAGATTCAGAGGCTGTCCATCAAACCAAAGGTTTACTAGAAATGTAGGAATATCGAGGTTAAACAGAATAGCATTTCAATTGCCATCAGTTCTGCCCATCTCTCTTCTCAGCATGGTGTTCTTTGCTTGTGTTTTCAACACCTGTGCTTTAGTCTAGAAAATTTCTTATGTGGGTGTTTTTCCATAGCAGTCTCTTGAAACTCAATCACACTCTCTTCTCCTAAAAACTTTCCTCTCCTACGCTTTTTTTTTTTTGAATAAGAAGAAAGTAGAAACATTCATATTTTGACCTCGAACTACACAGGTCTCACTATGGAACCCAGGCTGACCTTGATCTCAAGACTCATCTTATGTCTCTCCACTGCTGGGATTACAGCCACATGCTCGGAGGCCCAGCTCAACTCTCAGAATTCTGATTGAATTATATAAAAGCATGATACTTTACCCATCTTTCCTTTGGGTTCATGTACTTAAGGACAGTATTCTATTTTATTTAAAAATGTCTATATCTTTGGTTTTTCTTTATAAATCAATGCCCCTTCCCATTCTCAATTTACTTTTTCCATTTTTCTTTAAAACAAGCCACAAAATGAGGCTTTTGTTGACAGAAGAATAAAATGTGAATTTCTCCCACCCTTCTCTGAAGGATTCTGAGCAGAGGCAGTAAGACATTACTTTTTCTTATTTGGGTTTTATGCAAATATTCTGTATTATCAAAACCTTTCTTTATTTATGTGATGCTAACTACTGTCAATCAAATATGGTAATGTCACAGAAGTTTACAGGGTCCATCTGATGTACTACATTGATCTTTGAGGCTTAATGTAGACAATAAAATGGGTTTGGGCTCCACTGCAGCAGACTTTTGTGGTAGGTCATATTTTATTTAATTAAATACTAAATTAATGCTGATATTTACCTTTTTAATTGTGTTTCATTTGTACTTTTTTTTTTTTTTACTCAACAACAGAATGAGCTAGAACATAAGTTGGTCATTTGAGGGATGTATCATTTTGGAGTTGAGTATCAAGCTAAGCATGACCAAAACTGTTAATGTTCATGTGTCAATTATGTCAGATTTCACAAGTGGTATTTGTTTGGTACTTTCCACTATAATCCTAAGTATAAAATAATGGCCTTACCAATCCATTTTTCAATGGATCCTAGTAGCCTGGTGAGCATTTCTTTTAATTGTACAGCTCATGTGTTCATACATGAAAGTATCAGATTACAAGATATTCTTTCCCTAAATGTAGTGTTCTTCAGACTCTTAATACACTGTGTTCTACTATAAATCACATTATTTCATGATGGTTTAGTTATATGTCATAAAAAGCACAATGTTGTCTATTTAACAAGTAAGACAACTTTAAGTAACAGTGTTAAGATATTTATAAAGATATATTTCCTGTTTATATAAAATTAAATTACAGGAACAATATCTGGACCAGGTCATGTGTATAGATACAGAAATGTTCTCCTCAGATGTGAGGAAGCCAGAGGTGAGGAGGTTGAGAAGACATGTCCAGTTAGCACAGTAGCTGAGAGTTCATCTTAACTCTGCCAATGAGGACATAAGTCATTAGGAGGCAACGATATGCTCAGTTAGAAAGCAGTTTCTATGGATCTCTGTGAGTTTGAGGCCAGCCTGGGCAACCAAGTGAGTTCCAGGAAAGGCGCAAAGCTATATAGAGAAACCCTGTCTCGAAAAAAAAAAAAAAAAAAAAAAAAAAAAGAAAAGAAAGAAAGAGAGCAGTTTCTATTGATTAGGATTATCATGAGGATTAATATGTACAAATATATAGAACAAGAGCTGGGACATCATTCACAAGTAAAATGGATAAAGCACTAGCCTAGTATGTGTGAGTCTTTGGTCCAAACCCTGCACTACAAAACAGTAAAAACATCTGTAATGGTAGACTCTCTGTTTTTTTTATTTCCTTCATTTTACTAAGCTTTTAGTGCACAAAATAATGAATCTCATTATGACATTATCAAATATGTGTCTCCTTGTACTTTGTTTACATTCAATAATACACTCTTGTTCAACCCTACCCCTTCCACTCTTTTCATGTCTGTCCTTAAATGCTTATGCTTCTGCTCTCATGACATATGTATGTGTGCCTGTATTATGTATGTATGTATGTATGTATGTATGATCTATCTTCCACATATGAAGGAACTATCATCTTTTTTTTTTTTTTCTGGGCCTAGTTTATTTAGCTTAGCATTTATGTTCAACTAATTGCCAAGGGTACTTTAAATCCATTTTTTTCTCTTGTCCCACAGAAAATGAATTTATGTCTGGCTCATTGAGGCAACAGAGCAAAAAGTCCTATATTATAGGTATTTACTATTCCACAATATTTTTGCAAATTTTGCTCAGTTCAGTGTAGCAAGAGTTTTCCTGTCTTGCCCACAGGACAAATCTTTGTCACCCCCCAGTCCTACAGCCACTCAGACCCAACCAAGTAAACACAGAGACTTATGTTGCTTACAATCTCTATGGCTGTGGCAGGCTTCTTGCTAACTGTTCTTATAGTTTAAATTAATCCATTCCCACAAGTCTATACCCTGTCATGTGGCTCGTGGCTTACTGGCATCTTTTCATGCTGCTTGTTAGGGTGGCGGCTGGCAGTGACTCCTTTTGCCTTCCTGTTCTTTTATTTCTCCTCTCTGTTAGTCCCACCTATACTTTCTGCCTAGCCACGGCCAATCAGCTTTTATTTATTGACCAATTAGAGCAACTTGACATACAGACCATCCCCCAGCACAGCCAAGTGCAGACCATCTCAGACACCTGCACTCAGGCCTGTGGTCCTAATCATCTTCTATGTGGACCTGCTGGGTAAAGCCATGAGGAACCCAAGAATGGGCTCCCAAAGGACATACAGAGCATCCCACAGTTCAGAAAGGCATAATTAATCAGAATTGTAACAGCTGAGAAGGTTCTCCTTTTCTTCAAAAGAAAAGGTCTTTGAGCTTTATCCTAACTACACTTGAGGAATGAAATCAGCAATGAAGATATTTTGCATTTTCCTTACTGTTATCTCCAGTCTTGTGGTCCTTCAGGTGTTTGGAATATGGGAAGAATGTGAAGGGAAATATTGCTTTATTTGTTTATTTATTCATTCATTGCTTTATTTATTGCTCTATTTCTTTCTTTCTTTTGTTGGAAATATTGTTTTGAGACTCCTCTTCAGCTGTTCAGTGGATACTCATTTTATTGTTTGAAAAAAACAAGAACAAATAGTTAAGAAACGAGAATATTTGTCCAAAGAAGCAGCATTAGACCTGGTGATTGTGTTAAATTGTATAATGAGACTATTTGTTATCAGAAGGAACCCTGTTTCTTTCTTTCAAATGTAATTTCATTAGCTGACAAATTAAGTTTTTGCCACTAGCTCAGAAATAAGGGGGGGAAGAGAGGGGATGGTTATTTCTACCAAAGACCAGTAAATTATTTTTTTCTCATCATCTTTTCTCTTTTGAGAGGTTATATTGAAAGTAAATATTTGAAATACATCTTGAAAAGGGGAATGCTAAAAGCAAAGGAAAATATTGTTGGACAAATAAACTTGAAAGAGAAAAGGTTTCATTAATGTTGTTTAGGTATGATTACACACACACACACACACACACACACAGACACACACACACACACACACACACACATGAAATTCTATGCAACAAATAAGTGTATCCATCCATCAGTTTTTCTACCTGTCTGGAATAAGTGTGGATTAATAGGTTTTGGATGTTTTCCTCCAGCTCCTCAGATGAAAACAAGACAAATTGCAGAAAGAACACATAAGTGTTATGTGGTCGGCGGTTCATGCAAGTCTGAATGTAAAGCTTGGCAGTATGTCTACAATTACTGTGACATTGAGCCCCGCTATGTGGTGTGTGAATTCCAAAAGCCAATAGTGAGATTCTTGACTAGTCCCAAGGCTACAACTTAAATTATGAATTGTAAGTCTAATACATGATGGACATTGTACTAATTACTAATAAAGATGGATTTTTACTTTATGTCATGAGAGATGCTTCTGACATTTTAGATTGCACTATGATGACCAATGATTTCAATGTTGGGTAAAGGAAATATCAAAGAAACATAAGAATGAGAGTGGTTCATCCAGAAGCTGGAAGATTTCCCACTGTCCCTCACTTTCTTACTTGTTTTATTCAGAAGCCTCTCACACACAGTTGGAGTTATCACTAATCACTCAACCAGGGCTGATACTGCCACTTAATAATTTCATGACTCTTAGGCATCAGACTGCACACAGTCAATCAAAAAATAAGGCACTATGGATAAGGTAACTGTAAGAAGAGAAACTGAACAATAAAGGATAGGAGATACAGTGGAAAATGCCTAGGTCTTAATTGTGCCAGGATATAAGAAAATGGCACAGGAAAAAAATCAGTAGAAAGGTGATTCGAGAGATATTGTCTCAAAAGGAAATGTTTGAAATTTTATCTTCATAAACTGAAAAAATAAAATTGAAAAATTGTGATTGTAAAGGTCTTTATGAAAATTGGAAGAATTTTAAAATATGTTTTAAATATCTCTATAGGATATCACAATATATAATTTTTCCTCCCTTCTAACAAAAGGGTGTGTGTGTATGGGTGGAGAGAGAGAGAACAAGAGAGAGAGAGAGAGAGAGAGAGAGAGAGAGAGAGAGAGAGAGAGAGAGCGCAACAGACACTTAGACAGACTTAAAAATTGTAAACCACAATTTTTGAAAAAATTACAGGATACAGAGAATCTTTCTTCTGCCATAGATGAAAACAAATACAGAGACCCACAACCAAAGAACAGAGAGTGAAAACTTGAAATCCTTAGTCATAAATTGAATGTTTCCATCAATTTCCTCTCCGCTGGGATCAAGGATCTTTGCAGAAGAGGAGGTAGAAACATAGTGAAAGCCAGAAGAGATGGAGGACACCCTACATGTCTTTTGTTCATATGATGGTTTCTAATTTTGTGTCTTTATGGGATTTCTGTGTGTGCCTTATGAATGTGTGTGTCTCTGTGTGTATAAATTTCTTGTTCTTTTTCACTGTCTCTTTTTTTCTGTTCCTTTCTTTGTTCTATTCAGATTTATTTGTTTTTATTTTATCTTTTATATTATTATTATTATTCACTTAAGACATCTGTTTTCTAGTGAAAGAGAGCACAGAGGTGTGAGTTGGGAGGGTTGGGTGGTTGGAGAGGTATGGAGGATCTGAGAGAAGTTAGAGGAGGGGAAACCATAATCAGAATATTTCATAGGAAAAATATCTACTTTCAATAAAAAAATTACTAGACAATACATTTATATAATCAATAATTTAAGCTTCTATTTTAAGAATCTAGAAGGGGCCAGGCAATGGTGGTGCACATCTTTAATCCCAGCACTTGGGCGACAGTGGCAGGCAGATCTGTTTGAGTTTGAAGTCAGCCTGGTATAGATGTAGTGAGTTTCAGGACAACCAGGGCTACACAGAAGGAAACCTGTCTTGAAAAAGCAAACCAAAAAAACCCAATCAATCAAACAAACAAACAAACAAAAAGACCACAATAATAGCAGCAAAAACAAAGAATTTAGAAATGTAAACTAAACCCCATTTGGCAAAAATATGCATTTCAATAATGTTTTTTATTTCCTTTTTTAAAGAAAGAAAACAGCAATGATTAATGATAAATTAAATAAAAAACAAACATTAGTAGGGCAATTAAAATTTTGTTTTGCCTTTTTTGTGTGTGTACAGTCTCACACATTTGTATATACTATGTCCACCCATAGTAGTACATTCTATAGAATTTAAAAAGAAAGGCATTTCATGTAAGGGTGAACCATGAAAATTGTAATAAAAGATTCATATTATATAAAATTCAATTATATTTCTATTAAACCAGTAGTAAATTACCAAGAAATGAAGTATTAAAACATTATTTATGAAATAAAACAAAATAATGAAATAACTACATTTATTAATTTATATACTCATTAAAACAGATCTTACTATATGACAACTACATTGTTAAGAGTAATTAAGAAATATATAGAGTCGTAAGGATTCTGGTCACTGAAAAGAAACCCATTCCACCTAATTTATAGATCAAACTGGAGATTTCCATGAAAGACTGACTTATGAAGGAAAACAACGAATTCCTATACTAATACATTCTATTCTTCATCCCAGCATCAAAGATTTGAAGAACTTGTAAAACAGCAGAATTAGTACATAGGCACAAACAAAAATAAAGGAAACAGTGATACTTCAATGGGAAAAGTGGGTTTTAAACAAAACAAAGCTCTCTAGAATGTATATAGACAGACATTCTGGAATCTTTTCATCTATAAATCAAGAATATTACTCCTACAATAGAGATGGATCAGGACAGAGATGTTATGGCATGTTACTCAAAGATAGAGGCTGATTAAAATATGGGAGGCCCTGGGTTCAATCCCCAACAGTGTAAACAAAAATAAAGGGAATGGAGGCAGCAGAAAAGGTACTTATCACCTATAGGTACATCAATCATATAAAAATGAAAAAAAAGGCTAGAGCCTCTGAGAGTTTAGAATAAAAAGAAGTACGGAAGATATAATGGAAGCCATTTCAAGACATTGAGTTTTCACTAAGTAGTGAGATACAATTATTAAATAAATAAGGAATAATGATATTAGGAACATGTCTGGCAACTGCAGTTAATGTATATGAAAATATAATAAATGGAATATGGTGGTAAGATTTTACATAATATTGACTTACTCTAGTGGTAAAATATCACCTGCAAAATAGTATTTGTATGGATATATGAATTTCTAAATTAATTTTATGTTTTGCAAATGAATATATATTCTTGTAAGAAATTGATCATATTTAAGATTTACCCCTACAAATTAAAAAAAAGGCAGGCCATTTTTGGCCAAAAAATGAAAAACAAAACCATTATCCACCAAATGTAAAAGAAATTCATTGTTTTTAATTATTCCAATAACACGATTGACCAATTGTACAATTTAATTAAAAACATATTCTCAAGATATATAATTGAAGACAAAAATTATAACTGCAATGAAGAACATTTTGTTATAAAAATTTTGTAAATCACTGGCCAACTTACAACCCAGTCTGCTTTCTGTGAAAGCTTTTTGGACCTGAGGACACGGCTCCACAAGAAAAACTTTGCCATATGCAAAGAATGAAGCCAGAGTTCTCTGCATAGAACACAGAACGTGGGATAGGCATGTAGCCCACCTACAAATCCAACACATGGCAAGTAGAGACAGGAATCACAGGAAACATCTGTCTAGGTAGAGGAGCCAATATTGAGAGCTCTGGTTCATCAAGAGACCGTCTCAGTATATGAGGTGGGGATCCATCGAGTACACCCAGTGCTAACCTTAGGCTACACAGGCATGTGCACACACATACAACCATGTATGTATACAAACCACACACTTACACACATAAAAAACCCACAAAGCTATGCGATGTTTTTACATATATATTGAAAGATGATGAACATTTTTTCATAGTTTTAAAATATTAAACATTTTATATAATCTGGTGGCTAAAAGGTAACTAAATTATCAAGTAATTTTCAAGTTACAGAAAACAATTACAAGGGAATATTAGGAAGCTCTGGAGAAGCGAAATCCAGCTGGGAAAAAATACAGCATGAATTTTAATGATACGTTAACAAAAAATGAATCTTAATTTTATATATCTATCATGAAACATTTCATGTATCCATATCTCTTATATTTTCTTAACTTGATAACATCAACTTATAGAACTTTCTGCAATAAAAAAATGATACATGCTTGACCTAGTGATCAGTAATTTTAGATACACTTCTTTACTGTAGCCGCATAAACTTTGCTGAGTTCCAGTAGGCTTGGAATGTAAACGTCAATGGAGGAGACATTGCCTTGATGCTGAACCACATGTTGATATCTACCTCTCAGCGTGTATGTTTTTCTGCATTGAGATAGTGTGTTGAGATTGTTTTAAGAAGCTTGTGAAAAAGCATGTATGTAGACTAGTGGAATATGATTTGTGCCTCTGAAATAACTCCTCAAACAGTACTAAATCATTGTCCTTTGCAGAACTTAGTTATGTATCTGATGGAATGAGCTGAAGATTTACACAGAAGTGTGTCTGTAGCTAAACTCCTAACACATGCTTACCAGGTTTCCTTCAATTTGGATTTTTGGAGCACCTACACTTATATAGCTTACAACTTCGGCTCACATTAGAATTTCAGTTCTTATAAGTCAATATTTGGGTGCTTACTGTTTGTCTAAATAACATCATAAGCTTATTAGAATCAAAAACCAAACCAAAAAGGAAGAAATACAGGTGTACAGTGCAAGCTAGGTATTATTGGTTCATCCTCTTTTCTCTCTCTCAAAGTTTGATTGTTCACAAAAGACACAATCCTTACATTATTTAATCCTTTAAGAACTGGGCTTCTTTAATCCCAGCACTCAGGAGGCAGAAGCAGGTGGATATCAATAAGTTCAAGGCTAGCCTGGTTTACAGAGTGAGTTCCAGGACAGGCTCCAAAGCAACACAGAGAAACCATGTCTCAAAAATTAAATAAATAAATAAATAAAATAAAATAAAACAGGAGGCAGAAGCAGAAAGACTGGATCCAGTTGGGAGAGAAGGGGGTTGGGGGACTGGAAGGAGTAGAAGGAAGAGAAACCATAATAAGAATATACTATGCAAGGAAAAAAAATCTATTTTCAATAAAAAAAGAAGTAGGTCTAAATGAAAGCTGAATTTAAGCTAAATAACCTAGGCCCATAGTCAAGTTCACTAACATTTTGTTATTAGTACTGGATTTCAAGTTCACCATACAAATTAGACTACACAAATATTTTCTTCAATATTATTTAAATAGTTGGCTAAAAAAATACAGACACTAGAAACAGTTTTCTGGAAAATACGAAGG